TTAATAGAATTAGTCTGCAAGAGTAGAAACTTATTTCTATAATTTTTGATCAGAGTGCTTAAAGATCTAAGAGATATGACTATAGAATTTAGATCAAAAAAGCTTCCAGAGACAGATATAAGTAGAGCTACAAGTGGTACGAATATGACAAAAATTGTATTAAAAGGCAATTTGACTCAAGTTTGAAACATAGATTCAGCCATTCTCTTATTTGATTCAAATGCCCCTTTAGTTTATTCTTTCTGAATTAGGGTAGCTACGCAATGTAGTCACGCTCAAACCAGGAACGTAATATAATTAGTAGATATATACCAGCAATTTGAGTTTAGTAAAGAGCTTTTTAACAATTATAAGAACATGAATAATTTCCTTATATACTTCATTTCAAGTACTGTTTATCTTTAAATTAACTTAAATTTGCAATATACATATGAGCTAAAACATGATTTTAGAGTTTATCTAAACTACAAATCGAGATTAGGTTATTAATATACAATACTTTAATATTACTACATATATATATATAAGTTATACATTACTTATAAGAATTTTTTTGATAATTACAGGCATTTCGAGTAGTGGTAAATGATTTGGGAATCTCATATACTGTAGTAGACGTCATTCCCTCTCTAAAATGATAACTGTGTCAATTTTTCATTAATAAAACTTCGAATTTTTCAAATATAAACAAGTTACCCAGGCAATCAACCCTCAAAGGCCAATCCAAAAAACCCACCCTATGAGTACAACACACCCATTCATGCATATATATTTATATACATACATATATACATATTTTATACACGTTCTATAATAGTTTTACATATCTGACTTCCACCCAATCATAACCCGAAATTTGTTCACAAACCATTCTAGTTTTCGGTTAACCATACACTCCGTAATTTCATTATTACATTTCTGGTATAATTAGATATGGTGATTAGATTAGAACTCTGATATATTTTATATGAATTTTACTTTTGATATTATCAACCTTAGATATTATCAGTGTGAAAAACTTTAATCGACTTTTTTTTGTTGAATTGAATTTCACTTTTCAATAACCAGTAACTGAGTGAAGGTTGTCCAAGTTTCCTTGCGTAGTTTGGCTATTTATACTAACATAACAGGTAGTACTTGTGCCACCTATCTTATTTCATTAAGGTTGAAAATTATGTATATGAGTGCTACGCAAAACATAATCACGAATTGTATAAACTAAAAATCTGATAACTTGTATAAATAATAAAATTCGAATTATCTATTGTGAATAAATTGTTTCCATCTTCAGTTCTATTTAATGCAGGATCAAATAGTTAGTTATTAAATTAACAGATATTGATATTATTGAATTCAATTATTATTAATTAAATAATCAATTGATCTTATATATTTAAATGAATTACATTAGGCAAAATTAAAAACATCAACTTATTCAATTAGCACAATTTGAATATCACTCGATATGCTATTCAACCTAAAATATTGTGTAGCATTTAAATTATGTCATCTGAACAAGCCAACTTTTTTTAATTACACTTGCAATTTAGATTAGAACTAGAGAGTAAATAGATGTTTATATATTCATAAACATGAATAAGATAAGATTAAATTAGATAAATTAGTTGAGCAACCAAATTCAGCAAATTGTCTAAAATTTAGAGTTGGAATAGGCCCAGAGCTAGACCAGCATCAAGCAATAAAACCAGCCTACTATACTATAGCAAAATTATTCTCTGGGTAGCTTTACTTAATATGTGAGCTATTATTCTATTAGTAAAAGTTTGGGTGATTTTGGAAAAAATTTATTAATTCCGTTCTATTCTGATCCATATTTTGGTCAATCTTCTGAATTTTGGTTGTATGACTAATTTATTCGACTAAATACAGTAGTAAATATTTATTCTCTTACAAAGTAATAAATATTCTTATCGTAATATTAACACTCTAATCCTAAACTTCTATCTTTATGTACTTAGTTTATTTACAAAATTTGATTTTCTTTTTTTAGTTTATATTTCCTGTACAAATAAGTAAAATCTACTATAGCAAAATCAGTATAATAAGAATTAAAGTTAGGATTAGAATTAAAGTTAAGGTTAAATTAAAGTAAAAACTTTATATAAAACATTTTTGATTAGTTATATAACAGAGACTATTCTAGTAAAATTTAAAATATCAAATAGAGTATATTGAGTACAAGATACACCAAAAAATAATACTCTATTATTATAATAATGTTTTAAAACTATTTTTAAAAAGCTTATTTAATATATATATTTAAAATATAATAATTATATTTTTATAATATTTTTAATATTATTATAAAAATATTATAAAAATATTTTTAAAAAATTTATTTTAAATTAATTTTAAAATATAATAATAATATTTTTATAATATTTTAATAATATTAAAATAATGTTTTAAATATATTTTTAAAAAGCTTATTTTAATATATATTTAAAATATAATAATAATATTTTTATAATATTTTTAATAATATTAA